TCTGTTTGCAATGGGGGCGTATATGGACCTCTTCTATTCAGCTGGCAGGTAGCTGCTTTCCAAATTTCTTGGCATAGACGAATGAGTGCTTCTAGCGTTGCATTCATTTTTTCAAACATTACAGTTGGTATTCTCTCAATTCCTGGAGTCTCGTTTTCTGCCAATGCCTTTAGTGCAGCTTGGACTTCTTCCTTCAGTACCATCAGTTCTTGATCACTTGCTACACCTCCTGAAACGGCTGAACGTCGACCAATTCTTTTTGGTACAGTGACTCTTTATATTTTTATCTTCTGATGCTTCCAGAGTCATTCAATATTTTGCCTGCAGAATCCCTCAATATTCCAACTCGAGGCTTGAATGCTTTCTTCAGTTCTTTCAGCTTGAGAAATGCCAAGCATGTTCTTCCCTTTTTATTTTCTAACTCCAGGTCTTTGCACATTTCAATTTAATACTTTACTTTGTCTTCACGAACTGTGCTTTGAAATATTTTGTTCAACTCTTTTACTTCATTATTTCTTCTGATGCTTTAGCTACTCTACATTCAGGAGCCCGTTTCAGGGTCCCTTCTTACATCCACTTTGGGCTCTTCTTTCTTTCCCGTCTTTTTAATGACCTTTTGCTTTCTTCAGGTATGATGTCCTTGATGTTATTCCACAACTCCTGTGGTCTTTGTTCATTAGTATTCAGTGCATCAAATCTATTCTTGATATGGTCTCTAAATTTGGGAGGGATATACTCAAGCTCGTACTTTGGCTCTTGAGGATTTAATTTTCTTCAGCTTTAACTTGAATTTGCATATGAGCAATTGATGGTTTGTTTGGCAGATGACCCTTAGCCTTATTCTGACTGATGGCATTGAGCTTCTCCATCGTCTCTTTCCACAGATGTAGTCTATTTGATTCCTGTGTGGTCCGTCCAGCAAGGTCCACGTGTATACTCACCATTTATGCTGTTGACAAAAGCTATTTCAGATAAATAAGTTGTTAACTTTACATCATAGTGTTTAAGTTACAGGATATTAAGGAGAAGAGTGACCATCACCCAAGCACTTTGTATCTTCTCTGGGGAAAGGGGTAGTGTGTTTCTGATTGTACGCAGGTGAGTTATATCATGTTAGGTGGAAGTATTACTTTTTATTGTCTTTACTTGGAGATTAAGTATGCCTTAAGGAGATGTGTATGGGTTCCAAGCTGACAAGCAGTGGACTGAGATCGTTAATTTTATACACCCACTTGGCCAGGCTATGGTACTCATTTATTTGTTCAAACAGTAGTCTAGCTGTTATTATGAAGATACTTACTTGTGATTAGCATTTACATCAGCTGACCTTACGTAAAGCAGATTATCCTCCATAATGTGAGAGGGCTTCATTCAACCAGTTGAAGGATGAAGCAAAAAACAGGTTTCCTGAGGGAGAAAGGTTTTGCCTCAAAATAGACTTCCTGCCGGAATCCTCCCCCACCCACCACCTGTCATATCCATTTAGGGACACATGATTGCTGGAAATTCCAACCTGTCACCTGACCTACAGATTTTGGACTTGCCAGCCCCCACAACTGTATAAGCAACTGTATAAGCCAATTCCTTTCTTAAATCTCTCTCTCCTGTGCTCCCTCAATATCTGTTTCCCTCTCTGTATACACACACACACAAATATCAACTGTAGCTTCAGATCAGTAAACATACACCATTGTTTCTAGTTGACCTCTAATTACTCTTTAGTCTCCCTCCCCCACAATACAAACAGACACTGAAGCCATTTCTTTACTGTGTCCCTCCCAGTTGCAAGAAAACTGGACTGGATTCTTCAGGGTACTTCCAAGGAAACTACTATTAAAAACCAGTGCCATAATCTTTAAAGGATATAATCTGGTCGGGCCTACATTCTCTCTAAAGGTTTTTGATTATTATCACAAAAGTGATTCTAGACATTTAGTTAAGTTCCAAAATTAGTCAACCACAAAATGAAGAAGCTTGGGAAAAACTACCTTAAACATAATTTTAGAAGCCCAAGTACTAGAATACTGAACAATGATGATGAAAAAAGTTGGAAAGCAGAAGACCAGAGTTCTGTTGCTGATTTTGCCACAGTCTACTTGTATGATTTGAAGTAAATATTTCACTTTTCTAAATTCCAGCCCCTCAGACACCTCTACAAAAACTCTAAGTTGAAAAACTAAAAATCCTTTCCAGGTATAACTTTATTTACTAGTTCAGTTTCTAAATATTAGATACGATAACATAGCTACAAATAATACTTATTAGTAAAACACAAACAAAACAGGAGATAAAAATCCTATTAAATGCCAATATCCACCTAGTCTGAAGTTCTTTTGTTATATATCATAAAGAATGACTTCCTTTGCAATGAAAATAAAGTAAAAGTAGAGCCCAATAGAAATTTATATTTGGTTCAATCTCTTCCCTCAAATGGAAATGAAGAAATAGCTAACTGAACATCTAAATGAAAGTAGTATACACATCAATTAATTGACTATAATTTGATTTATTCATTCTGTTCCTAATAGCATAAAATATAGTTTGTTTTTTTGTTTGTAGTCCACTGAAAATTATTTCAGAGATATCTGAAACCTCTTTAATATTCCTCTCAGTATGTAAGACTTTTCTAGCCTAGCATCTCATTACCTTATCCACACTACTCCTGTCTGAACATTCAGTTCCAGTCATTAGAATAAACGTCTGCTACAAACATTATTAATGAGACAAATATCAAGAGATCCAAGCAAACTACTACCACCTGGGGTAACTGCACTGTTCTATACGAAAACCATTATAGCAGCAAATAAAGAAGCTGCCTGACATATTATAATCAGTTTATTCATACAACAGCTATTTCTACAACACAACTACTCACAAGTCACTAAGTACATGTGTCAGGGCACATACAGCATGAACATATTGGTACCCTGTTACAACAAAGCCATCAGGCATAATTTTTATAATAATTCAATTTGCCTTTTGAATTTATACATTTAATGAATTACATAAAAAATATTTTTAAAGTCTCTAAGGGTTAGCAATAACCTATAATTAATGGAGGGGAAGGGGACTATTTCAACCTTTAGACTTCACTGAAGCAAATTTTAAAACAAAAATATCTTTATATTAAACTTAGTTTTCCTGCCTTAAGTTCACTTTTTACACTTTCTTATAAAGAAAAGAAAGAACATTTGAGATCTAAAGATTGTTGTAAGAAGAGTGTTATTTCAATCGTGGGTCGGCAAACTGGCCCAAGGGCCAAATCTGGCCTACTGCCTATTTTAATAAATAGTTTTACTGGAACACAGCCACATTCATTTGTTTATATATGGAATATCGCTGCTTTCGAACTACAATGGCAGAGTTGAGTTGTTGAGACAGAGACCACATGGCTCACAATACCTAAAATATTTACAATCTGGGCTTTTACAGAAAGTATGCCAAACCTTGGATTAGATGAAAAACATAAAGCTGGGGTTCTAACTGAAGCACTTCTGATCCATGCAGCACCCTGGAGGTAAAAGGTTTTCAATACAATTTCTGAAAGAATGAAAGAATGGGATTCCAGAGCAAGTGTAGCAGAATAAAACTGTCTATAATTTCCTCCAAGAAGTATTATACAAATGTACCTCACATTCTTAAACAGATGTGTTATAAAAGTTGTATACAAATTAAATTTCCATGAATGCCTAAGTGGCTTTCTTTTTTAAACTCCTGCAGCAATTCTGCTTGTAAAGTAAGTCTCATATTTAGCTTGTCTATTTATCTTGTAAATATTTTCTTAAAGCAGAGTATTTGTGTGTCAGTATTATACGCATATATGTCAAAAAATAAATACAGGCATGTATGAATCATTAGCTATCTTTTCTTAAGTGTTTACCATATGCTAATTCCTTTAGTTACTTCATTTAATCATTTTACAACTCATCCTCAAGGGTAACAGATATCCCTGTCTTATATAAACCCAGGCAAAAGAGGTGTTTTCTCAGGTATCTTCAGGTTTATTGTTTTCCTTGAAATATGCAATTTTTTTTATTTTACTGAATGGTTTATATTTTTGCTTGGAAATTAAATGGCACACAGAGTTGTGGCTTTGTAAATCTAAAAAAATTCATAACTAGGTAATTTCCCTATCTTTAATGTGAGAGATTCATTATCAACTTTTCTCTAATTCAGTCAATAAATATTTATTGCATGTTGACTATGTGCTGGGCACTATTCTAGGTATGGGGGATATAGTGTTTAAAAGACAAACATATCAGCCCTTGTGGAGCTTTTTCACCGTGATTATCAATTCATTACAAGGCTTTTGCTTTTCTATTACAAGTTATTCCCACATTATGCTTAGCCTTACATTTTTTCCTATGTCAAACGTTGTTGTGTGCTGTCGAGTCAATTCCGACTCAAAGTGACCTTGTATGATAGAGGAGAACTGCCCCACAGAGTTTCCTAGGCTGTAATCTTCACTGGAGCAGACCACCAGGTGTTTTTTCCCAAAGAGCCAATGGTGGGTTCGAAACACCAATCTTTGGGTTTGTTATTTATCTTCTACTTTTCTATTTGCATTTCAAAAAATGTTGATTTGGTTTTTACCTAGATAATGATCGTGAAAAAGTTGATATTAAATTTATTACAGTATTTACTGTCTCAGCACAAACGATTAAAATAAAATGTGAGATTAATACTAAAATTTTTATATACTTCTAAGTCTTCTACACTTTCACATGGATATTGAATTAACTTATTTTGAAGACTGATAGTTTCTTTTTATTGTATTACAAATTCTCCAAACAAAGTACACAGATAAATTCTATCATAAAAGTTCTGATTATTTTTTGCAGAATATTCTATAGAATCTGTGAAAAAGCAGTATTTCACAATTACAAGGCAGTTAAATTCCAACTGTACCTTCCATACCCTTATATAACTTCTACTGCTATTGTATTTCCATCCAAGTAGAGCTTACCCTTCTCCCCGAGGCATTTCCACTATGTCCAGTGCAGACTATCTTTCTACACTCTACCCCTAGAATTCTCCCATGGGTCAAGCTATATGCACTTCCCTGGATGCATCACACTTTGTTTATGCTGTTTGATTAAGTATTGCATTCTTTCACTTAATCACTCACCTTATCAGTCCCTCCCAAACAGTAATTTATTTATTCACTCAGTCATTCATTCAATAATTTATTACATATCCTTTTTCCAAACACCAAACCTAGTACTCAAAAATTCAGGGAATATAAGATGCAGTGCATGTCTGAAAGGAGTGAAGAGACAAAAACAGTAGCAATTTTTTCTGGAAGCATTGGTGGTTCAGTGGTAGAATTCTAGCCTTCCATACAGGAGACCCAGGACCAATGTACCTCATGTGCAGCCACCACCCGTCTATCAGTGGAGGTTTGCATGTTGCTATGATGCTGAGCAGGTTTTAGTAGAGCTTCCACATTAAAACCATTCAGTTGTGCGTGGGATCCCCATGAGTTGATGGCTGATTCAACTGCAGCTAACAACAACATCTTTTACTGAGTGGCTACTATATACTAAGCAGTATGTTAACTGCTTTAAATTAATTATCTCATTTATTCCTTTTACAACTTTAAAAAGGTAACAGATCATCCCTATCTTATATAAATGTTCCAGATAACAAAAAAAGAGAAAATTTTCCAATTTCTTTTTAAGAGATTAGTACAATCTTGACATCAAAACTACACACAGACAGTACAAAAAAAAATAATAATAATAATAAGGAACCAATCTCACTTATAAACATAAATGCCAAAAAAAATCATCAAACCAAATCCAACAACATATGGGAAAAAAAGAAGCAAAGCAAAAGTAGTTTGACTTCGGAAAATCTATCAGTATAACTCACTAGACTTAAGTGAATTAACAGGTTGAAGGTGAAAACCCACATGAGTAATCTCAATAAATGCACAAAATGCATTTGATAAAATTCACCAAAGATGATTAAAAAAAAAAAACAAAAAACTTAGCAAACCAGGAATAGACAAGAATTTCCTTAACTAGATGAAGGATATATAGTAAAACCTATAGCAAACATCATACTTAACAGTAAAACTGGGAATCATTCCCATCAAAGTTAGAAAAATGGCAAGAATACTCAATATCACTAAAGCAGAGCTAAGAAGTTTCCTCAATACAATCAAATACTTTGAGAGACAGAGAAGTAGGGATGCGGGGTTTGGGGACCATGCTTTCAGGGGACATCTATGTCAATTGGCATAACAAACCTTATTAAGTCTGCATCCTACTTTGGTGAGTGGCATCTGGGGTCTTAAAAGCTTGCAAGCGGCCATCTAAGATGCATCAATTGGTCCCAACCACTCAAAGTAAAGGAGAACGAAGAACACCAAAGACACAAGGAAAGTATTGGTCCAAGGGACA